GGACCTGACTGAGCTAACAACATTAGCTAACAATGAAAAGTTGTATTTTTATTAACTAGCCTAACATTAACAAAGATTGCTAAATACTGTAACAAATGGATTGCTCATTGATTATCAGTTATCATCAGTTAACTAAATCAAAATTAAGCTGTGCAATTAATCACAATACAGTTTTGATTTCGATTTCGGCCTCCAACGATTATGCGCCCCATTCCGCCCCTTTAGCGGTGCGCTTTCACTGCACCATAAAAGCCCAATTTCACGTGCAAATCAGTAAAATCATGTAACGTGACTTTTGCAAAATGTGACAGGCTTGATTTATTAAAGTTGATTAGCATTATTCATGTTTTTAAAAGCGCAAAAAATAACTTGCGCTGCTCCTCGGGAGGATTTCGGTGATGCGTTTAGAGACGGAACAGAACACGGACATGTAAAGTCATCTTTTAACTCAAGGTGCGTGTCTAAACGGTCAGATACACGCAAAAATGTGTCAAAATGCAGCGCTTAGTGATTATTCACGTAAACCCTCGTCGGTTGAGTAATAAAAATGAACGTAAATTAAATGAAAATACAAGTGTAACAGTAAATTGGATCTGTGCAGCTCTTAAAGGGGTCATATGATGTTGCTAAAAAGAACATTATTTTATGTATTTGGTGTAATGAAATGTGTTTATGCGGTTTAAGGTTCAAAAAACACATTATTTTCCACATACTGTACATTATTGTTTCTCCTCTATGCCTTGCCTTTCTGAAACGCGTCGATTTTTACAAAGCTCATCGGTCTGAAAAGTGAGGTGTTCTCTGATTGGCCAGCTATCCAGTGCGTTGTGATTGGCTGAATTCCTAAAGCGTGTGACGGAAATGTTATGCCCCTTACAATATTGTGATGCCTTGTCCCGGCCGGAGCGACGAGACAAAAACATTAATACCCATTATAAACGAGGCATTTGTTGCATCCAGTGGGGACAGATTATAATGACATATACTGTCTTTTTACGCGTTGCATTG